TAGAGACGGGGTTTCACCATGTTGACCAGGATGGTCTCGATCTCTTGACCTCGTGATCCACCCGCCTCGGCCTCCCAAAGTGCTGGGATTACAGGCTTGAGCCACCGCGCCTGGCCGGGACATCGTTTCTACAAAAATTTTAAAAACTAGCCAAGTATAGTGGCACACGCCTGTAGTCCCAGCTGCTCAGGAGGCTAAGGTAGGAGGATCACTTGAGCCCAGGAGGTTGAGGCTGCAGTGAGCTATGATAGCGCCACTGAATTCCAGTCCTCCAGTCTGGGCAACAGAGCAAGACCTTGTTTTGGCAGCTGGGCCTGAGCTTCTCCTGAGGATGGTAACAGTTCAGACAAAACAAGAAAACGGGAAACTTTGTAAAGTGGGTTAAACAGTCTACCTTCTCCTCTTTGCTCTCAACTCCATCTGATGGAGAAGAGTCTTCTATGCCCAGATGCTTTTTCAAGGAGGTTACTTCTCCACAGCTAGGCCAGGAAAATATTAATTGCTGGTACAGGTACCAATCCCTGAAGTGACAGAAGCTGTGATATTATGAAATATATATTTGGTCTTCATCTCAATTTCCTGGCACAGAACTCCTAAAATCTCAAGAATCTCTGAAGTGATGTCTTTTCATATGCTAATGAGTTGACTGGTAACTGGTAGCCCTTAAGACTCCATAAAAAAAAAGAAAGAAAAAAAGGCAGGGTTTAGTGAGCTTCCAGATAACTGCACATATGGAGGTTCCTGGAGAACTGAGTGCTTGGGGAAGGCATGGAAGCTCCCCACTCATTCCTCTGCATCTCACCCTACGCATCTCTTCATCTCTATGTTTATAATATTAAGCCAGTAAAAGTGTTTCTTGGAGTTCCGTGAGACACTTTAGCAAATTAACCAAACCCAAGGAAGGGGTCATGAGAACCCTACTTTATAGCGGGTTAGTCAGAAGTACAGGTAAAACCTGGGGCTTGCGATTGGCATCAAAAGTGAGGGGCTGCTTTGTGAAATGAGCCCTCGACCTGTGGGGTCAGACACTACCTGCAGGTAGATCATGTCAGAATTGACTGAATTAGAGGTTGGAATGTTGGGGAAAACCTCTATACATTTGGTCACAAGTCTTTTGTGTTGATTGTTATGGGGTGACAGCAGAAGAAACACTGTTTTTTCCAACTGGTCTCTACTCAGGGGCCTACAAGCCTTAGCAGTACACACTTTACACTGTGCATGGCACATTATTGCTTTACAGACATCATCTCACCCCTGGGTGGTTTAAGTTATGAACACACCCATTATACAGATAAAGAAAAAAGACTCAGAAGTTCCATAGATTGGACAAGGACATAGGTGAAGACCAAAGTCTGTACCTCCAATCATTTTATTATTCCAGTTTCTAGGGGTATGGATATATAAAAAAGGGGGTCCTTACTTGACAGCTTAGATTCCTCTGGTTGAGGAGGCTGTTTGTTGAGGTTTGAGGCAGAGAGCTCAGGCGCAACTAGCCAGGCAGCCTGGCCAGGGCCTCTGTCCCAGTCCTCAGCTGTCCACTCCTGACTCAGCATCATCACTCTGGATGCTGGCACTGGAGCTGCTCGAAGGCTCATCCAGGGAGGCAGCCTCAGCAGCAGCTTTTGCTGCCCTCAGCTTTTGTTGCTTCTGATACTTCACCCTGCGGTTCTGGAACCAGACTCTCACCTATAATTGGAGACAATGGGGCAAAGATCAGAATGTGACCAGCAGGTGCCACTGCTTCCCAATTCCTGGAGTGAACACCTCCCTCTGCCTGGCCAATATTTGCTCTTCCTTCTCAGAAAGGCATCTTCTCCAAAACACCCCTTTCTATAATTCCAGACAACATTCATTCATCCGAGTATTTATTGAGTGTGATGTTGATACAGTGGTGAGCAACAGAGGCAAGCTGCTTGCCTTCGTGGAGCTCACAAGCTAGTGAAGAAACACTGGCAACAAACATGTAAACAAAGAACTATGTAAACACAAAAGGGGGTACAAACAGGGTTTTGGGTAGAGGAGTCCTCCCCTGAGGAACCAGCACTAAGGCTGAGGCTCAAAGGAAGGGAGGCCCACCTGATGGGGACAGAGAAGAACAGGACCGCAGGGCAGGGAACAACCTGTAGAAAGGCTCTGTACCAAGCTTGGAGTGTTTGAGGTCTGGGAAGGAGCAAAGCATGGATGAGAGAGGAGAAAGTCAAAGAAGGGAAATGGGAGAGATCAGCAGGTGCCAGATCACCCAAGACCTAGAAGGCCATAGATAAGTAATGTTACACGTGGGGAGTTTACATGGGCCCACATAATCCTATTTACATATGGAGTGCACTGTGCACCTGGCTGCTGTGTGAAGCATGGATGGCAACAGAAGCAGGAAGACAGGAGGGAGGCCACTACAGTGGCCCAGGGAGAGCTGGGGCGTACACTAGGCGTGATGGAGAGAAGTGAAGCCACTCCAGCTGTGTTTTGGTGGTAGAAATGACAAGGCTCACCGGGCGCGGTGGCTCAAGCCTGTAATCCCAGCACTGTGGGAGGCCGAGGCGGGTGGATCATGAGGTCAAGAGATCGAGACCATCCTGGTCAACATGGTGAAACCCCGTCTCTTAC